AAAAAAATAAAAAGGGAAAAAAAAAAGAAAAAAAAAGTTTATATATTTATTTTGAGTTACTCTTCCAACATATATTTTTTTTCAATATCTAAAAGACCTACATAAATTAGTGTACCCAAATAATAAAAAATATATCAAATTACAGCCAATTTGATTTGATATGTTGCACAACAAATTTTAAACTTTTTGCATAACAAAATAGATATGTAATTATAATAATATTCATAGCTCTTGCAACAAATTTATCGCACAACTCCATTTGTGGATGAAAAGTTATTAGATATCTACAAAAGATTGAACATCTACTTTTCTTAAGTCAAATTGAGGGTTGATTTTATGTTTTTGTACATTATTTTAATTTTCTTTGAGTACATTGGCTAGTTTACTTTAGATTCATTGTTATTTGATAACATTGGTTCATTCATAAAGTAATTGTTCATTGTTAATAATTAATGACAGTTATTGTTAACTTTAGCTTTATTGTTAATTCTCTTTGATTGCTAGCTAGTTTACTTTGTACATTGTTTCAATTTAAATAATAAATAATATATTTTATATAAATTTATATTGAATTGGACAACAATATATTATATTAAACTGTCCAAAATGTATTTTTGATGTATAGATTTGAAAAAATTCAAAAAAAAGAACAAGATATTAAAAAATGCACTTTTTTATTGTATATATTACCATACACATCATAAAAAGTGCACATTTTATAGTGGGTGTGACCTTTACCCATCATAGAATGTGTGGGTAAGGTCACAACCACCATGGTATGTGGCACATTTTGTGACGGGTGTGACCACACGTGACATAGAATGGGGTATCAATGCAATAAAAATGTCATATTTAGTACTCATACTATGATAAACATTAATCATCTAATATGGAAAGTGAACTTTCTATGTCGCGTGTTAATCCGTCATAAAATATGTGCACATTTTATATCGTTGGAATTTATATTGCATTTAACCTGACATGAAATTTCCAAAACGCCCAACATAGAAAGTCTCTAACACAATAGTGATATATATATATATATATATATATATATA